CGCTGTCGAGGGCGCAGGCGGCGTCGGGGCCGCGGTTCCGGAGCGGCCCCCCCCCCCCCCCCCCTTCCCCCCGCGGCGTGGCGGAGTCACGTGTCGCTCGCCGGCGCCGCCGGCAGGTTGAGAAGGATGAGGCGCTGGTGCTCGGGGTCGGCGACCCCCACCTCCTCCAGGTCGTCCACGGTGAGATCCCTGCAGGGGACACGGCGGCCGGAGCTGACGACACACCTGGGTGTGCGCGCGTGCCGCTGTGCGCGTGCGTGCATGTCGCTGTGCGTGTGTGCGTGTCGCTGTGCGCGTGTGTGCGTGTCGCTGTGCGCGTGTGTGCGTGTCGCTGTGCGCGTGTGTGCGTGTCGCTGTGCGTGTGTGCGTGTCGCTGTGCGCGTGTGTGTGTGTCGCTGTGCGCGTGTGTGTGTGCGCTTATGCGAGTGTGTGTGCGCGCGTGTGCACTTGTACGAGTGTGTGCGCATGTGTGAGTGTGAGAGTGTGTGGGTGTGTGGGTGTGAGAGTGTGTGGGTGTGAGAGTGTGAGAGTGTGAGAGTGTGCGTGCGTGCCGCTGTGCGTGCGTGCCGCTGTGCGCGAGTGTGTGTGCGCGCGTGTGTGTGCACTTGTGAGAGTGTGTGAGTGTGTGCGTCTGGCGTGTGCGTCCCCCGCCAGCCCCCCCCCCCCCCCGCACGCACCCCAGGTAGTCGACGTCGTCCCAGCCGTTCCTCACGAGCGCCGCCTCGTAGGCCTCCAGGCCCAGCGCCCCGAGCCAGCGGCCCACGGCCCGGGAGCCCCCCCTGGCCGAGCGCCGGCGGCCCCCCCCCTCCCCGCCGGGGGCCGGGGCGGCCTCCCCGGCGGGGCCGCGGGGGGCCGTGCCCGCGGCGTCGCCCTCGTACAGCGACTTGGCCATCTGCAGGGCGAACCACGAGCGGTCGTCGGCGGGACGCGTCTCCGCCGGAGGCCGCGGGAGGCCCGGGGGACCGCCGGCCCGCTCCGGGTGGGCCCGGCTAACGAACATCAGCTGGTCGGCCACGAGTCCCAGCATGCTGTGCGTGTCCACGGCGCGACCGCCACCCTGCCAGCCGCCCCCCCCCCTCTGCCGCCGCCCCCCCCCCTCCTCCTCCTCGTCGTCATCGTCGTCGTCGTCCTCCTCCTCATCCTCCCGTATGGACTCCATCTCGTAGCAGAGGCCCTCCGCCGCCGCCTCCGCGTCCCAGTCGCGCGCCGCCGCGGCCGGCACGGCGACGGCGCCGGCGCCGGCGGGGCCTCCGCGGAGGGGGGCGGCCCCTCCCCCCCGGGCCTCGCCGCCCGGCAGCGGGGGCGGGGGGTAGTCCGGCGGTGGCCGGTTGGGCGAGGGGCAGCCGTCGCCGTTCTCCTCCTCGCCGCCGTCGCCGTTCTCTCCGGCGGCCCCCGCCCCGCCGGCGCCGTGCCGGGAGCCGGCCCGTGTCCGCGGGGCCGGCGTGGGCAGCCGGGCCGAGCCGGCGCCGTCCGCCGAGGCGTCGGCCCTCGCGGGGGCGGAGGCCGGGGCCTGCTGGGCGACGTCGCCCGCGCGACGGGCGGCACCGGCGGCGGCGCGCCGGTGGGGATGCTTGGCACCGGCGAGCCGGGGAAGAGGATGAAGTAGTTGGGGTTGTCGATGCTGATCTTTGCCGGGGCCGGCTCGGCCTCTGCCTTCGACCTGGGGGGGTGGGGGACGGCGGGGGCGGTGAGCAGGTCGTGGTAGTGCGGTGCGTGCATGTGTACACACGTGTGTGTGTGCGTGTACACACGTGTGTGTGTGCGTGTACACACGTGTGTGTGTGCGTGTACACACGTGTGTGTGTGCGTGTACCCACGTATGTGTGTGTGTGTGTACACGTGTGTGTGTGTGTACACACGTGTGTGTGTGTGTGTGTACCCATGTGCCTGGTGGCGCTGCACCTACCGGTTCTGCGCCGGCTCGTCGTAGAGTCGCGTTTCGTCCGTGGGGGTCCTCGCCAGCGGGGCCCGAGCCCCCCCCCCCGCCGCCCCCCCAGCCCCCCCCGCCCCCTTCTCCCCGGGCCCCTCGCCGCACTCCCCCTTCCTGCCGCCCCCTTCCCGGGGCGGGGGGGGGCCCCCCCCGCCCCCCTCCTGCTGGGGGGCCGGCGGCTTCCCCGGCATGAAGACGTAGGAGGAGGGACCCCCCAAACCCGCGGGGACGCCCGGCTTGCGCCCGGGGGGCCTGGTGCAACACAAAGACAAAGGTCCCCCGTGTAGCCCTAACAGACTGTCGGGGCAAGTGTCGTTAGCGAGGAGCGCCTGTGAAGGCCGCCACGGCGCACGAGGGGGCGGGTGGCCAACACCACGCCGTGGTGAGCGTGCCGTGGTGAGTGGCAGGGAGAGTGACATGGTGAGCGCGCCGTGGTGAGCGCGCCGTGGTGAGGGTGATGTGGTGAGCGCGCCGTGGTGAGCGTGCCGTGGTGAGGGTGATGTGGTGAGCGTGCCGTGGTGAGGGTGATGTGGTGAGCGTGCCGTGGTGAGGGTGATGTGGTGAGCGTGCCGTGGTGAGCGTGCCGTGGTGAGGGTGATGTGGTGAGGGTGCCGTGGTGAGGGTGATGTGGTGAGGGTGACGTGGTGAGGGTGATGTGGTGAGCGTGCCGTGGTGAGGGTGATGTGGTGAGCGTGCCGTGGTGAGGGTGATGTGGTGAGCGTGCCGTGGTGAGCGTGCCGTGGTGAGCGTGCCGTGGTGAGCGTGCCGTGGTGAGCGTGCCGTGGTGAGTGTGTCGGCAACCCTCACCCGGCTGCGTCCGTGGTCTCCGCCGGCACGGCTGGCGAGGGGTTCTTCTTCTTGGACGTCGAGACGTGGTCCTCGTTGTCGATGCTGATCCACGCTGCACACGCACACGCATGCACACACACGCACACACGCACGCACACGCACACACGCACGCACGCACACACGCACACACGCACGCGCACACACACACGCACACACACACACACACACGCACACACGCACGCACACACGCACACACACGCACGCACACACACACGCACACGCACACACACGCACACACACGCACACACGCACACACACACGCACACACAGATCCCCCCCCTGGAGCCTTAACAGATGCAGTGAGCGAGTGAGTGGAGTGAAGCTGTGAAGTGAGTGAGTGGAGTGAGTGAAGGGAGTGGAGTGAAGTGAGTGAGTGGAGTGAGTGAAGGGAGTGGAGTGAGTGAAGTTATTGGAGTGAGTGAGTGGAGTGAGTGAAGGAAGTGGAGTGAAGGAAGTGGAGTGAAGGAAGTGGAGTGGAGTGAGTGGAGTGATTGAAGTGGAGTGATTGAAGTGAGCGAGTGGTTTTCTGTATCGACACAAGCACTGCTTCCCCCCCGTGTTCCGTTTGGAATTGATAAAAGCTACCGTACTGCCTCTACTTGATTACTGTGACATCGTGGATAAATCAGCCCCAAGTACTTTACTGAAGAAGCTTGACTCAATGTATCACTCGGCCTTAAGATTTGCATTGAACTGCCCATATATGACTCACCACTGTGATCTCTACATTGGGTCAAACTTAACATCTCTCAATATTCGACGGCTTGTGCATCAGATCTTATTCATTCACGTTGTACTTACAAAAATATCAGCAGACTACCTGCTGGTCTCTGTTTCAAATAACAAATTTGACCAAAGGTCTTCGCTCATTCATCAGCTTCACATTCCTCATTGCCGTACAAATACTGGAGGAAGGGCCTTTGCTATTGATGCCCCCAGGGTCTGGAATGCTATCGCCAATAAACTGAAACTTGAATCGCTACCTATGAGATATTCACTCAAACTGCTCTAGAGGAGTTGTACACCCCTAGCTGCCACTGCTATTCAGTGGCCTAAAATACAATGTTTCGCTCCGGATGACCGCTGCAAAGTATAATCTGTGTTTTGATTTAGTGTGCTGATCTTAAAGGTGCATTGAAAAAAGTTGACACTCCGACTGATGCTCCTGCTGTTGTGGAGTGACTCATGCAGCCAGCTATGGCTGCAGGGTTTTGGTAGTACATGTTTGTCGTTTATTGTGAAAATTCCGTCACAGTTCCTATGATCACTGTTTCATTGCTTTTGTAATAATCTTCCAGGAGACGGCTTCGGAATCAGTCCTTTTATTTCCACTCCACCATACACTTTTCTTACTCACTCTCCGTTGCTGGCAGACAACGGAGAGAGAGGACAGACTCCACACGCAGTTCCCTTCGCGCACGTGGCAACCCGAGGCTCCGTCCGCACGTGACCCTGCTTCTGTTATTTTCCGTCTGCTCTCGATCGTTCCCTCTCGCTCGCTCTTAAGACCCCCGTCACGTGGTTCCCCCAGCCAATCATGTATGGACAGCTCACACCATTCTCGATGGTTCCCTGTCAATCCCGGGACCACGCCCCTCATCCGGCTCCCCATTTGCTGGGGCCCGAATGGCTAGGCCAATCACTTACGATGACCTGTCGTGATGACGCATGGGCCATGGTCCCAATCTCAACCCTTATTGGCTACGAGCAGGACCGGCAAGCCAATCCCCACGTGAACCCTCTATGGCTGTTATTACACTTTCATGGCTTTATTTTGGTGAATTTCGAAAAGTTTTTTGGTTTGTTGTAGTACAGAGTTAGACTGATGGCCTTAATCTAAGTTGTCTTGTGGTTGTTGTTGTTGTTGTTTGACTTGCATCCCACTGGGATGTTTGCACACAGCGTTGGTGTACGGCGCTTTTTCTGCAACATTTTGCTGTCTTTTCTTGGATTTTCTGTTTGCACTTAGTCACATAGTCACTTTAAGATTTTTTCTTGTTCATGTTTTTGTGTTTTGTTTGTTGCGGTTGCACCCGATTCAAGAGCCGAATGGCTCACAGGGCTATACCTAATAAATGAAACTTGAAACTTGAGTGGAGTGAGTGAAGTGAGTGGAGTGAGTGAAGTGAGTGGAGTGAGTGGAGTGAGTGAAGCATGCTAACCATTGCACTACTGCTCCCCCCCACACACACACACACACCGTTGCACACACAAACATCCCCCGTGTAGCCTTAACAGACTTTTCCGGGGCAAGTGCTGTTTGCGAGTAGCTCCTATGAAGGGTGGCATGGCACACGAGGGGGTGGGTGGCCAGCACCACGCCCGGCCGCCTTTGTCTCCCCAGTGGCGATGTTGCACGTATGTCTGTATGTCTGTGTCTATGTATGTCTGTGTGTGTGTGTCTGTGTGTCTGTATGTCTGTGTGTCTGTGTGTCTGTGTGTCTGTATGTCTGTGTGTCTGTATGTCTGTGTGTCTGTATGTCTGTGTGTCTGTATGTCTGTGTGTCTGTATGTCTGTGTGTCTGTATGTCTGTATGTCTGTGTGTCTATGTCTGTGTGTCTGTATGTCTGTGTGTCTGTATGTCTGTATGTCTGTGTGTCTGTGTGTCTGTGTGTCTGTGTGTCTGTGTGTGTCTGTCTGTGTGTCTGTGTGTCTGTGTGTCTGTGTGTCTGTATGTTTGTGTGTCTGTATGTCTGTGTGTCTGTGTGTCTGTGTGTCTGTATGTCTGTGTGTCTGTATGTCTGTGTGTCTGTATGTCTGTGTGTCTGTGTGTCTGTGTGTCTGTGTGTATGTATGTCTGTGTGTCTGTGTGTCTGTGTCTGTGTGTCTGTGTGTCTGTGTGTCAAACTTCTTTAGCGCCACTGCACGTAGCCAACCGTGGCTAATCGGAGGTGCGGGGGAAGGACGTAAAAACACTCGACACAAAAAGGAGTTCGAAAGAAACGAGTTTTCAATCTCGATGATTTAAAAGTGCATCGCTCCAATGGTTGTGGTTGCTGCTGTGGTGGTCGTTGCAGTGATGGTGGTTGTTGCGGTGGTTGGTGCGGTGATTGCGGTTGTGGTGGTTGCAGTGATGGTGCTGGTTGCGGTGGTGGTGGTGGTTGCGGTGATGGTGGTGGTTGCGGTGGCAATGGTGGTTGTGTGATGGTAGTTGAAGTGATGGTGGTGGTTGCGGTGGTGGTTGCGGTGGTGGTTGCGGTGGTGATGGTGGTTATGTGATGGTGGTTGCGTGATGTTGGTGGTTATTGTGGTGGTGGTTATTGTGGTGGTGGTTGCGGTGATGGTTGTGATAGTGGTGGTGGTTGTTTCGATAATGGTGGTTGTGGTAATTGTGGTGGTTGCAGTGATGGTGGTTGTTGCGGTGATGGTGGTGGTTGCGTGATGGTGGTTCCGTGATGGTGGTTGCAGTGATGGTGGTGGTTGCGGTGGTGATGGTGGTTGTGTGGTGGTTGTTGCGTGATGGTGGTGGTTATTGTGGTGGTGGTTGCGGTGATGGTTGCGGTGATGTTTGCGATAGTGGTGGTGGTGGTTGTTGCGATGATGTTGGTTGTGGTAATTGTGGTGGTTGCGGTAGTGATGGTGGTTGTGGTGGTTGGAGTGGTGGTTGCAGTGGTGGTGGTGATGGTGATTGTGGTGGTTGTGATGGTGGTGATGGTGGTTGTTCCGGTTGTGGTGGTTGCGGTGGTGGTGGTTGCGGTGGTGGTGGTTGTTGTGGTGGTTGTGATGGTGGTTGTGATGGTGGTTGCCACGGCGGTGGTTACCGTAGAGACGCTCGCGCGTGGCCAGCCGGTCCGAGGGCACGCGAACCTTCATCCAGCCGCGGACGTTCCCCGTCTCCTCTCCGCGGTGCGACAGGAACGTCTCAAACTGCTGCGGCGTCGTGCCGATCATCGACTTGAGTGCCAGGCAGCACTCACCTGCAACCAGCGCCACCAGCGCCACCAGCGCCACCAGCGCCAAGGCCGTCATCAACATCACCGCCAACGGCACCGGCATCACCGCCGAGATCCACCATCATCATCATCATCAACACCATCATCATCAACACCATCAACACCATCACCAGCACATCACCAACATCAACACCATCAACACCATCACTAGCACATCACCAACATCAACACCATCAACACCATCACCAGCACATCACCAACATCAACACCATCACTAGCACATCACCAACATCAACACCATCACTAGCACATCACCAACATCAACACCATCACTAGCACATCACCAACATCAACACCATCAACACCATCACTAGCACATCACCAACATCAACACCATCACTAGCACATCACCAACATCAACACCATCAACACCATCACTAGCACATCAACACCATCAACACCATCACTAGCACATCGCCAACATCAACACCATCACCGGGACATCACCAACATCAACACCAACACTGGCACATCATCAACATCAACACCATCAACACCATCACCAACATCAACACCATCACCGGGACATCACCAACATCAACACCATCACCGGGACATCACCAACATCAACACCATCACCGGGACATCACCAACATCAACACCATCACTAGCACATCACCAACATCAACACCATCACCGGGACATCGTCAACATCAACACCGTCAACACCATCACCGGCACCATTGTTGACATCAACACCATCACCCCCCCCCCCCCCCCCCCGTGGTACCGTAGGACTCGTATCCGTCGCTGGAGCGCACGGTGAGCAGGATGTGCTGGTCCTGCAGGTACTCCAGATCCGCAATCATCGGCTTCAGCTGACGCCACACGCAGTGAACACACACACAGTGTACACACACACACAGTGAACACACACACAGTGTACACACACACACACAGTGAACACACACACACAGTGAACACACACACGGTGAACACACACACACAGTGTACACACACACACACAGTGTACACACACACACAGTGAACACACACACACAGTGAACACACACACACAGTGCACACACACACAGTGTACACACACACACAGTGAACACACACACACAGTGAACACACACACAGTGTACACACACACACAGTGAACACACACACAGTGTACACACACACACAGTGAACACACAGTGCACACACACACACAGTGAACACACACACACAGTGCACACACACACACGCACGGTGAGCAGGATGTGCTGGTCCTGCAGGTACTCCAGATCCGCGATCATCGGCTTCAGCTGACGCCACACGCAGTGAACACACACACGGTGAACACACACACGGTGAACACACACACACACAGTGAACACACACACGGTGAACACACACACGGTGAACACACACACACACAGTGTACACACACACGGTGAACACACACACACACAGTGAACACACACACGGTGAACACACACACACACAGTGAACACACACACAGTGAACACACACACACAGTGTACACACACGCAGTGTACACACACGCAGTGAACACACACACAGTGTACACATACACAGTGTACACACACGCAGTGTACACACACACAATGTATACACACAGTGTACACACATACACAATGTATACACAAGGTGAACCCACACACAGTGAACACACACACACAGTGTACACGCACACAGTGAACACACACACACAGTGAACACACACACAGTGTACACACACACAGTGAACACACACACAGTGTACACACACACACACAGTGAACACACACACAGTGTACACACACGCAGTGAACACACACACAGTGTACACACACACACAGTGAACACACACACAGTGTACACACACACAGTGTACACACACACAGTGTACACACACAGTGAACACACACACAGTGTACACACACACACGCAGTGAACACACACACACAGTGTACACATACACACAGTGAACACACACACAGTGTACACACACACAGTGAACACACACACAGTGTACACACACACACACAGTGAACACACACACAGTGTACACACACGCAGTGAACACACACACAGTGCACACACACACACAGTGAACACACACACAGTGTACACACACACAGTGTACACACACACAGTGTACACACACAGTGTACACACACACAGTGTACACACACAGTGAACACACACACAGTGTACACACACACACGCAGTGAACACACACACACAGTGTACACATACACACAGTGAACACACACACAGTGAACACACACACACAGTGAACACACACAGTGTACACCCACGCAGTGAACACACACACAGTGTACACACACACACAGTGAACACACACAGTGTACACATACACACAGTGAACACACACACAGTGCACACACACACACAGTGAACACACACAGTGTACACATACACACAGTGAACACACACACAGTGTACACACAGACACACACGCAGTGAACACACACACAGTGTACACACACACACAGTGTACACACACACACGCAGTGAACACACACACACAGTGTACACATACACACAGTGAACACACACACACAGTGAACACACACAGTGTACACACACACACGCAGTGAACACACACACACAGTGTATACACACACAGTGTACACACACGCAGTGAACACACACAGTGTACACACACAGTGTACACACACACACACGCAGTGAACACACACACAGTGTACACACACGCAGTGAACACACACACACAATGTACACACGCAGTGTACACACACACACAATGTACACACGCAGTGTACACACACACAGTGTACACACACACAATGTACACACACACAATGTACACACACACACAGTGTACACACACACTGTACACACACACAGTGTACACACACGCAGTACACACGCATACACACGCAGTACACACACACAGTGTACACACACACACAATGTATACACAGTCAGTGTACACACACACAATGTACACACACAGTGTACACACACACACAATGTACGCACACACAGTGTACACACACACAGTGTACACACACTCAGTGTACACACACACACAATGTACACACACAATGTATACACACACACAATGTACGCACACTCAGTGTACACACACACACTCAGTGTACACACACACACAATGTATACACACACAGTGTACACACACACACACAATGTACGCACACTCAGTGTACACACACACACTCAGAGCACACACACACACAGTGTACACACACACAATGTATACACACGCAGTGTACACACTCAGTGTACACACACACAGTGTACACACACAGTGTACACACACACACACACAATGTATACACACGCAGTGTACACACACACAATGTACACACACACAATGTATACACACTCAGAGCACACACACACACAGTGTACACACACACAATGTATACACACACAGTGTACACACTCAGTGTACACACACACAATGTACACACACAGTGTACACACACACACACAATGTACGCACACTCAGTGTACACACACACACACAATGTATACACACTCAGTGTACACACACACAATGTACACACACACACACACACAGTGTACACACTCAGTGTGCACACAGTGTACACACACACACAGTGTACACACACTGTACACACACACAGTGTACACACACACACACAGTGTACACACACTGTACACACACTCAGTGTGCACGATGTACACAACATGCACTGTGCACGATGGACATGACAAGCACCCTATACTCGTTACACAAAGACAAAGATCCCCCGTGTAGCCTTAACAGACTGTAGGGGCAAGTGCTGTTAGCGAGCACCTATGAAGGCCGGCATGGCACACGAGGGGGTGGGTGGCCAGCACCACGCCAAGCCGCCTTTGTCTCCCCAGTGGCGATGTTTACACACCACACCAGGTACTCATTTGAGGCTGAGTCGACCTAGGGGAGGCCGAGGACCGGTACAGATAATCGTCACTGGTGTTAGCCATGAGCGGGAATCGAACTTGGGTCGTCAGGTTCGTAGCGCTAACCGCTACACTACCGCTCCACACACTTGTCACAGAAAGCGAGGGAGCAGGGAGAGACAGACTGAGAGAGATAGAGACGGAGAGAGACAGAGCGAGACAGGGAGAGAGACAGAGAGAGAGAGATAGAGACGGAGAGAGACAGAGACAGACAGGGAGAGAGACAGCGAGAGAGAGATAGAGACGGAGAGAGACAGAGACAGACAGGGAGAGAGACAGAGCGAGAGACAGAGTGAGAGAGAGAGACGGAGAGAGACAGAGACAGACAGACAGAGAGACAGAGTGAGAGAGATAGAGACGGAGAGAGACAGAGACAGACAGGGAGAGAGACAGAGCGAGAGAGAGATAGAGACGGAGAGAGACAGAGACAGACAGGGAGAGAGACAGAGTGAGAGAGAGAGACGGAGAGAGACAGAGTGAGAGACAGAGTGAGAGAGACAGACAGGGAGAGAGACAGAGTGAGAGACAGAGTGAGAGAGAGAGAGACGGAGAGAGACGGAGCGAGAGAGCAAGAGGGAGCGAAAGAGAGAGAGAGAGCAGTGGGCGCTGGAAGAGGCCGTGTGCTCAGTGGCAGATGACGGGGAGCTCTGCATGCTGATATGAGCTACCAGTTGGAGGCCGTTGGGCTGCGAGAAGGGCTGCGTGCAGAACGAGAGAGAGCGAGAGAGAGCGAGAGTGAGTGAGAGTGAGTGAGAGAGAGAGAGTGGGAGTGAGCGAGAGAGTGAGTGAGAGAGTGAGTGAGTGAGTGAGAGTGAGTGAGAGAGTGAGCGAGAGTGAGTGAGTGAGCGAGCGAGCGAACGAGAGTGAGAGTGAGCGTGAGAGAGAGTGAGCGAGAGAGAGTGAGCGTGAGAGAGAGTGAGTGAGAGAGAGTGAGCGAGCGAGTGAGAGTGAGTGAGAGTGAGTGAGAGAGGGTGAGCGAGTGAGCGAGTGAGAGTGAGCGAGAGAGTGAGAGAGAGAGTGAGCGAGAGAGAGTGAGCGTGAGAGAGAGTGAGCGAGAGAGAGTGAGCGAGAGAGAGTGAGCGAGCGAGTGAGAGTGAGTGAGAGTGAGTGAGTGAGAGAGGGTGAGCGAGCGAGCGAGTGAGAGTGAGCGAGAGAGTGAGAGAGAGAGTGAGCGAGAGAGAGTGAGCGAGTGAGTGAGAGTGAGTGAGCGAGAGGGTGAGTGAGAGTGAGTGAGAGTGAGTGAGTGAGCGAGTGAACGAGAGTGAGTGAGTGAGTGAGAGTGAGTGAGTGAGCGAGTGAATGAAAGAGAGTGAGTGAGTGAGAGAGGGTGAGTGAGTGAGTGAGAGTGAGTGAGCGAGTGAGCGAGAGAGAGAGTGAGTGAGAGCGAGAGAGAGTGAGTGAGAGAGTGAGTGAGTGAGAGTGAGAGAGTGAACGAGAGTGAGTGAGTGAGTGAGTGAGCGAACGAGCGAGCGAGCGAGTGAGTGAGTGAGTGAGTGAGAGAGTGAGAGAGAGAGTGAGCGAGCGAGCGAGCGAGAGAGTGAGTGAGTGAATGAGTGAGCGAGCGAGTGAGAGTGAACGAGAGTGAGTGAGTGAGCGAGCGAGCGCGTGAGTGAGTGAGTGAGAGAGTGAGAGAGAGAGTGAGTGAGTGAGAGTGAACGAGAGTGAGTGAGCGAGTGAGCGAGCGAGCGAGCGAGCGAGCGAGCGAGCGAGTGAGTGAGAGAGTGAGAGAGAGAGTGAGTGAGTGAGAGTGAACGAGAGTGAGTGAGAGAGTGAGCGTGAACGCGAGAGTGAGTGAGTGAGTGAGCGAGTGAGTGAGTGAGTGAGTGAGTGAGAGAGTGAGAGAGAGAGTGAGTGAGAGTGAATGAGAGTGAGTGAGAGAGTAAGAGAGTGAGAGTGAACGCGAGAGTGAGCGAGCGAGAGAGTGAGTGAGTGAGAGAGTGAGCGAGCGAGCGAGAGAGTGAATGAGTGAGCGAGCAAGCGAGAGAGTGAGTGAGTGAGTGAGAGAGTGAGAGAGAGAGTGAGTGAGTGAGCGAGCGAGAGGGTGAGTGAGTGAGCGAGCGTGAACGAGCAAGCGAGCGAGTGAGAGTGAGTGAGGCTCCCGGCGCGCCGCTCACCAGCGGCAGCTGCAGCTGGGACCAGCCGACCTTGAGGAAGTTGGCGACCTCACTCTGCTGGCTGTCATTCTCGCCACTCTTGCACGGACCTGGTCACACCGGACACCACCACCATCAGCACCACCACCACCAGCACCACCATCAGCACCACCACCGTCAGCACCACCACCACCACCAGCACCACCACCATCAGCATCACCAGCACCGCCAGCACCACCAGCACCATCACCAGCACTACCACCAGCACCACCACCACCGTCAACTCCACCACACACTGCATGCCACCAACATCCCAGTCGTCAACAACACCAACAACAACCGCCAATCGCCACTAAGTGGCGGTGAAATCACCACGACGCTTGTGCCAGGCTAAGTGCGTTTTGAGGCCACGTGAAGTGTCGAACGCCTGCTGGCAGTTCACGGGACAGACCCAGCAGGTGCCACGGGTCAACTGATTGAGATGACTGGCCGGTGCATCACCTGTGTCCCCTACTGTGTCAACTTGCTGTATTTTAGCCACCCGGCGCTCCGCTCGTTGTTGTGAGTGTCGCTCCTCCGCCCTTTGTTGTTGTTGGAGGGCGACTGCCTCCAACTGCCCAGTAGCGTCCTTCACGAGCCTCCTCCACAGAGGCCAATCTTGACACCGCTGGTACCGGTCATCGGCAAGTCCACTCAGCTCCACATCCTCTCATACCACATCACTCCATCTCTAAACCCAGGATGGATCGTTGGTAGGCCAGCCTAATGTTTCTAACCAGCGAAGATGTTCCATTAGGGGGGTCAACGTATCGCAAGCATTGAGAAGGGTGGGTATGACCATGGCCAAGAAGACCTGAAACTTCGTGTGGAGCGACAGACCAGGTAGTGTCAACACAGCGTTACGCAGTCGATGAAAAGATAATTATGCTCGACTGAATCGGATCGAGACCTCTGCTGTCAAAACTGAGCTGGTCATAAGCACACTGCCCAGGTATGAAAAACTCTCCACTCTCTCCACAACTGCCCCATCACCAATGGGGAGTTGTGGGGATGAAGTGTCCGATGGTACAAAATACCCAGGCAGGTGCTTAGTTTTGGTGGGATGATGGTAAGGCTCCACCTCTTAGTGGCACACTCCAGGTTCATCAGCAGCGCCTCCAACTCCTCCTCTGAGTGAGCAGCAATTACCAGATAATCGGCATACATAACGTGGTTGAGCAATAGGGAGCCATCCCTTGACCGCACCCGGGCAACGATTGGCCTTCCATTGTATCTGTACCAGATGTAGATTTCGCTCGTACAGCATTAGAAGGCTTCACGAACTACGTGGTCAAAAAGGATGTTATATAATATGGGAGCCAGAGGATATCCCTGTCACACTCAAAGGTGAACAGGGAATGGCTCAGACTCCCAGCCACGTAGTTTTACCCGAGCCTGCCCACCATCATGAAGGCCCTTAATGATTGTGAGCAAAGAGGCATGGACTCCGAAAGCAAAGAACAACTCGGAGCCCAGGCCTACTAATGGTATCATAGGTCTTGACCAGGTCATTAAGCAGAGATGTAGGTCTTGTTGGCATTCCCTATATCTCTGCTGTAGCAGACAGACACAAAATATGGCATCTGTGCAAGACCGCCCTTTCCTGAAACCGCATTGGGGCTCCGCAATCCTCTACTCAGCGTGCCTGTTGAATAATCCTTGCCAGGAGCTGTCCTGGCACACTCAAGAGGGAGATGCCCCTGTAGTTGTTACAACCTGTGCGGTCCTCCTTCTTAAAGAGGGGGACTAGCAGGGCATCCTTCCAATCCTGCGGGACCCGTCCAGTGGTCCAGACTTATAATGATGTCATGTAGGGCAGTATGCACATAAATGCCACCCTTCCTCAACATTTTACTTGGGAGATCATCTCAGCTCGGCGCTTTTCCTGGTCTCAGACTCTGGATCAACTTCCGTACTTGCTCAAAAGATGGCACTTCAGCCACGGGGGGTGACGACTTCTTCCAATATTAGAGGCACTGCACCCTCAGCAGGGTCATCCCCACATTGCCCCATGATGTGTTTCAGGCTGAGGGATTTCCCCTCCCCCAAGACCTCACAGAAATGCTCAGCAAATTCGCAAACCTGTTCCTGGGGGTCGGAGATCGGATCACCTTTCTTTCCCCAAATGATGATGATAGGTGTGGCACTGCAAGTAACTTTTTTGATGGAGTTAATAGTGATTTGTGATTGTGGGCGACTGAGGCAGACTCCATCTCCTTAGCAACCCGCAACCACCACCCATCCTTGCAGCGCCTGACGGCTCTCCGAACCTCCGAGCGAATGTTGCGGGAAGCCTCCTCAATCTCCGACGTGGGATGCTGTAGACGGCAGGAATGGGCCTGTCGCTTTTTCTCAGCCAGCCTGAACACCTCCTCTGTCAGCCAGGGTCTCGGGGAAGGTCTGGACCATGTACCTCAAGTAGATATTGCAGCTGCATGAGCCTCCGTCCTAAACCTCGCCCATTTTTCTTCGGCATCAGGAGTTGTGGGGGACGATGCCAACCCCAGCCGCAAGCGATGATTACATTCTTGCTTACAACTTTCATCAGCTAGCTGAGACCAGGCCATTGTGGGTTTTAATAGGGTCCTAGAGTGTAAGAATGGCAGGCGCATCTTACAGATGACAAGCCAATGGTCAGTGGACAGATCAGCTTCACAGGAGCTCCTGGTTTCAAGGACATGGGCCCGCATCTTCTGTTCCATCACTATATAGTCCAGCAGATGTTCTTGCTTGGACCCGGTGTTCATCCATGATGTTGTGTGGATGCGTCAATGCTGGTACATCGTGTTGGTAATTACAAGCCCATGGGCTGCACAGAAGTCTAGCAGCCCCCTACTGTTGTTATTGAGCTGATCTGGCACATGCCTTCCAATTACTCCAGACCAGGTGCGAGCATCATGACCAACTCGGGCATTGAAGTTACCCAACAGGATGACTCTATCCCGAGGGGTCACTTTAGCTAGCACCTGTGACAGGAGGTCATGAAAGGCATCTGACACATCAGCCTTGCCTGCATCCCTCCACTGATGTTCATCTTCAGTGGGGGACATAAATAACCACCACCACCACTCCTGCCTCTGGTTGATGGGAAGATTATTCCACAGTATCCTGGGGCTTACAGCTTCCCACACTTCACCGCCACGCTCCCACGCCCCCTTCATTCTTTTGTTCATAAGAAGAGCCGCTCCCCGTTGTTTGGCAGTCTCCTGCCCCGAGTAGAGGACTGTCCACCACTCATGGTGACTGGAGCTAGAGCCGGTCCACCGGACCTCCTGAATACCATAAATATCCAAGCGGTACCGGTCCAACTCCCGACAGAGGAGTGGCAGCCTCTCCTCCAGAGCGAGCGTTTCTGTGGGTGGGCCAGGAGACGTGATCGATTGCCTGTCCCCCCGGGGCCTCCGGCTTAATTTTATAGTTTTCACGCGGTTCAATGGTAGTTGAAATTGAAGGTGGAGGGGTTACCAGTCACTCGCACCCTTCCAGAGCCCCCATTTGGCTGCTGTAGTGGCTACAAGCACCATGAAGAAAAATGGCCGATATGGAATTGGTCTTCCCTCCATGGCACTGCTGACATCCACCACAACATTACCGCCCGGCACCACCGAGGAGGTAGGGGGTTGTTTTTGCATCACCACCACTCCCACCACCAACCACCTCCATCGCCACCATGTCCACCACCACCGCCGCCGCCGCCATCGGCAGCAGCATCAGCAGCATCCGCAATAGTCACAGCACAAGCAGAATCAGTAGCAGTGGCAAAAACAGCAGCAGCATCAGTAGAATCAGCAGTAATAGCAGCAGTAAGAGCAGCAGCATCAGCTTCAATCACATCTCATTGCAGGGCGGCTGTAAGTATGTTGGACTTCTTATGCACCATACATAGCCAACCGTGCTAATTGGGGGTGGGTCTCTGTGTGAGTCTATGGGTCTCTGTGGGAGTCTATGGGTCTCTGTGTGAGTCTATGGGTATCTGTGTGAGTCTATGGGTCTCTGTGAGTCTATGGGTCTCTATGTGAGCTGGGGTCTCTGTGAGTCTATGGGTCTCTGTGTGAGTCTATGCGTCTCTGTGTGGGTCTATGGGTCTCTGTGAGTCTATGGGTCTCTGTGTGAGTCTATGGGTCTCTGTGAGTCAATGGGTCTCTATGTGAGCTGGGGTCACTGTGAGTCAATGGGTCTCTGTGTGAGTCTATGGGTCTCTGTGTGAGTCTATGGTCTCTGTGTGAGTCTATGGGTCTCTGTGTGAGTCTATGGTCTCTGTGTGAGTCTATGGGTCTCTGTGTGAGTCTATGGGTCTCTGTGTGAGTCTATGGGTCTCTGTGTGAGTCTATGGTCTCTGTGTGAGTCTATGGGTCTCTGTGTGAGTCTATGGGTCTCTGTGTGAGTCTATGGTATCTCTAGTGTGAGTCTATGGGTCTCTGTGTGAGTCTATGGGTCTCTGTGTGAGTCAATGGGTCTCTGTGTGAGTCTATGGGTCTCGTGTTGAGTCTATGGGTCTCTGTGTGAGTCAATGGGTCTCTGTTGAGTCTATGGGTTCTCTGTGGGAGTCTATGGGTCTCTATGTGAGTCTATGGGTCCTCTATGTGAGTCTATGGGTCTCTATGTGAGTCTATGGGTCTCTATGTGAGTCATTGGGTCTCTATGTGAGTTATGGGTCTCTATGTGAGTCTATGGGTCTCTGTGTGAGTCCTATGGGTCTCTGTGTGAGTCAATGGGTCTCTGTGTGAGTCAATGGGTCTCTGTGTGAGTCTATGGGTCTCTGTGTGAGTCAATGGGTCTCTGTGTGAGTCTATGGGTCTCTGTGTGAGCTGGCGTCTCTGTGTGAGTCTATGGGTCTCTGTGTGAGTCTATGGGTCTCTGTGAGTCTGGGGTCTCTGTGTGAGTCTATGGGTCTCTGTGTGAGTCTATGGGTCTCTGTGGAGTCTATGGGTCTCTGTGTGAGTCTATGGGTCTCTGTGTGAGTCAATCTGTGTGGGTCAATGGGTCTCTGTGTGAGCTGGGGTCTCTGTGTGAGTCTATGGGTCTCTGTGTGAGTCTATGGGTCTCTGTGTGAGTCTATGGGTCTCTGTGTGAGTCTATGGGTCTCTATGTGAGCTGGGGTTCTCTGTGTGAGTCTATGGGTCTCTGTGAGTCTATGGTCGCTATGGGAGTCTAATGGGTCTCGTGTGAGTCTATGGGTCTCTGTGTGAGTCTATGGGTCTCTGTGTGAGTCAATGGGTCTCTGTGTGAGTCTAGGGTCTCTGTGTGAGTCTATGGAGTCTCTGTGTGAGTCTATGGTCTCTGTGTAGTCGATGGTCTCCTGTGTAGGTCTACTGGGTCTCTGTGTGAGTCTATGGGTCTCTGTGTGAGTCTATGGGTCTCGTGTGAGTCGATGGGTCTCTGTGTGAGTCATGGGTCTCTGTGTGAGTCATGGGTCTCTGTGTGAGTCAATGGGTCGTCTGTGAGTCTATGGGTCTCTGTGAGTCTATGGTCTCTGTGTGAGTCTATGGGTCTCTGTGTGAGTCTATGGGTCTGTGTGAGTCTATGGGTCTCTGTGTGAGTCTATGGTCTGTGTGAGTCTATGGTCTCTGTGTGAGTCTATGGGTCTCTGTGTGAGTCTATGGGTCTCTGTGTGAGTCTATGGGTCTCTGTGTGAGTCTATGGGTCTCTGTGTGAGTCTATGGGTCTCTGTGTGAGTCTATGGTCTCTGTGTGAGTCAATGGGTCTCTGTGTGAGTCAATGGGTCTCTGTGTGAGTCAATGGGTCTCTGTGTGAGCCTGGGGGTCTCTGTGAGTCTATGGGTCTCTGTGTGAGTCTGGGTCTCTGTGTGAGTCTACGAGTCTCTGTGTGAGTCTATGGGTCTCTGTGTGAGTCAATGGGTCTCTGTGTGAGCTGGGGTCTCTGTGAGTCAATGGGTCTCTGTGTGAGTCTATAGGTCTCTGTGTGAGTCAATGGGTCTCTGTGTGAGTCTACAGGTCTCTAGGTCTCTGTGAGCTGGGGTCTCTGTGTGAGTCTACGAGTCTCTGTGTGAGTCTATAGGTCTCTGTGTGAGTAATCTGTGGGTCTCTGTGTGAGTAATCTGTGGGTCTCTGTGAGAGTAATCTGTGGGTCTCTGTGCGAGTAGTCGATGGGTTTCTGACCCTCCAGGCAGCTGGAGTAGAACTCGAGGAAGAACTTGGTGCGGCTCGTCGTCTTCACGATGGCCTCGACGCTCTCCAGCTCGATGTGAGACTCGTCCGCAGAGCCTGCGCACACGGCGATACAAAGACAAAGATCCCCCGTATAGCCTGGACAGACTGTTTTGGCAAGTGCAGTTAAGCGAGCACCTATGAAGGCCGGAATGGGACACACTTTTGTCTCCCTCGTGGCGATGTTTACTACACACCGCACCAGGTACTCATTTGAGGCTGAGTCGACCTAGGGGAGGCCGAGGACCGGTTCAGATAATCGTTACCGGTTTTAGCCATGAGCGGGAATCGAACCTGGGTCACCAGGTTTGTAGTGCAGCACGCTAACCACTACACTACCGCTCCCCACACGGGTAGACACACACATGGATACACACACACACAGGTACACACACATGGGTACACACACACACAGGTACACACACACATGAGTATACACGGTTATACACACTGGCACAAAGTGACACACACACACATGTACACTCACACACACGACAAACACACACAGGCCCCCTCCCCCAACTACCCCCCACCGTGCCCCATAGACTCTGTGGGGGTCTCTGGGGGGTCTCTGTGGGGGTCTCTGTGGGGGTCTCTGGGGGTCTCTGTGGGGGTCTCTGTGGGGGTCTCTGTGGGGGTCTCTGTGGGGGTCTCTGGAGGTCCCTGTGGGGGTCTCTGGAAGTCTCTGGGGGTCTCTGTGGGGGTTCCTGTGGGGGTCTCTGTGGGGGTCTCTGTGGGGGTCTGTGTGGGGGTCCCTGTGTGGGTCTCTGTGGGGGTCTCTGGGGGTCTCTGTGGGGGTCTCTGTGGGAGTCTCTGTGGGGGTCTCTGTGGGAGTCTCTGTTGGGGTCCCTGTGGGGGTCTCTGGGGGTCTCTCTGGGGGTCTCTGTGGGGGTCCCTGTGGGGGTCTCTGGTGTCTCTGGGGGTCTCTGTGGGGGTCTCTGTGGGTGTCTCTGGGGGTCTCTGTGGGGGTCTCTGGGTGTCTCTGGGGGTCTCTGTGGGGGTGTCTGTGGGTCTCTGTGGGGGTCCCTGTGGGGGTCTCTCTGTGGGGTTCTCTGTGGGGTTCTCTGTGGGGGTCCCCGTGGGGGTCTCTGGGGGTCTCTGTGGGGGTCTCTGTGGGGGTCCCTCTGGGGGTCTCTCTAGGGATCTCTGTGGGGGTCTCACCCTTCTTGGAGACGAACTGAGAGGTGACCCCGACCTCGTAGGTGGCGAACACCGGGGAGTGGTCGCTCGTCACGATGTCGTCCGTGCAGCCTGCCAATCAAACACAGCTGCTTAGCAACCAGTTACCGAGGCAACACCGACAATAATAAGGGAAGACTGATGATTATGATAACGAGAGCTCGTTAGCAACCAGCTAACGGGATGCTAGTGATGCTGATTACAGCTCACGAGCAACCAGTTACCGTGGCAATGCCAACAATGATAACGAGGGCTCGTTAGGAACAGCTTACTGGTTGGTACTGATGATGATAACAAGAGCTCACGAACAGCCAGTTACTGAGGCAACGCAGCGGCTATGATGGTGGTTGCTATGGTAACTACACACATGGCGGTGGTCAATGGAGTGTCAGCAGCCATTTTGCTGGTTGCTATAGTAGCTACAGACATGGCGGTGGTCAATAGAGTGTCAGCAGCCATGTTGGTGGTTGCTATGGTAGCTACAGATATGGTGGTGGTCAATAGAGTGTCAGCAGCCATGTTGGTGGTTGCTATGGTAGCTACAGACATGGCGGTGGTCAATAGAGTGTCAGCAGCCATGTTGGTGGTTGCTATGGTAGCTACACACATGGCGGTGGTCAATAGAGTGTCAGCAGCCATGTTGGTGGTTGCTATGGTAGCTACAGATATGGTGGCGGTCAATAGAGTGTCAGCAGCCATGTTGCTGGTTGCTATGGTAGCTACACACATGGCGGTAGTCAATGGAGAGTCAGCAGCCATGTTGGTGGTTGCTATGGTAGCTACAGACATGGCGGAGTTCAATGAAGTGTCAGCAGCCATGATGGTGGTTGCTATGGTAGCTACACACATGGCGGAGTTCAATGAAGTGTCAGCAGCCATGTTGGTGGTGGCCATGTTGGTGGTGGCAAGGGTTGCTACCCTTTTTGCCACCATACAGCAAACCGGGGCAGTGTTCTCAGTTACTCGAGGCCTATAAGAACTGTGCAGTGTTCTGCAATATAAAGGTCAACACAATACCCCCAGATCTCAGTGCATCCCAATTCCTTCCACCCAAACACAGCAACCAACTCAAGGACAGGTGGCAAGACGAGTGGTGGCCATTTTGGTGTGGGTGGCCATGTTGGTGGTGGTGGCCATGTTGGTGGTGGTGGCCATGCTGGTGTGGGTGGCCATGTTGGTGGTGGTGGCCATGCTGGTGTGGGTGGCCATGTTGGTGGTGGTGGCCATGTTGGTGGTGGTGGCCATGTTGGTGGTGGTGGCCATGCTGGTGTGGGTGGCCATGTTGGTGGTGGTGGCCATGTTGGTGGTGGTGGCCATGTTGGTGGTGGTGGCCATGTTGGTGTGGGAGGCCATGTTGGTGGTGGCAATGTTGGTGGTGGTGGCCATGTTGGTGTGGGAGGCCATGTTGGTGGTGGTGGCCATGTTGGTGGTGGCAATATTGGTGGTGGTGGCCATGTTGGTGGTGGTGGCCATGTTGGTGGTGGTGGCCATGTTGGTGGTGGTGGCCATGCTGGTGTGGGTGGCCATGTTGGTGGTGGTGGCCATGTTGGTAGTGGTGGCAATGTTGGTGGTGGTGGCCATGCTGGTGTGGGTGGCCATGTTGGTGGTGGTGGCCATGTTGGTGGTGGTGGCCATGTTGGTGGTGGTGGCCATGCTGGTGTGGGTGGCCATGTTGGTGGTGGTGGCCATGTTGGTGGTGGTGGCCATGCTGGTGGTGGTGGCAATGTTGGTGGTGGTGGCCATGTTGGTGGTGGTGGCCATGTTGGTGGTGGTGGCCATGTTGGAGTGGGTGGCCATGTTGGTGGCGGTGGCCATGTTGGTGGTGGTGGCCATGTTGGTGGTGGTGGCCATGTTGGTGTGGGAGGCCATGTTGGTGGTGGTGGCCATGTTGGTGGTGGTGGCCATGTTGGTGTGGGAGGCCATGTTGGTGGTGGTGGCCATGTTGGTGGTGGTGGCCATGTTGGTGGTGGTGGCCATGTTGGTGGTGGTGGCCATGTTGGAGTGGGTGGCCATATTGGTGGTGGTGGCCATGTTGGTGGTGGTGGCCATGTTGGTGGTGGTGGCCATGTTGGTGGTGGTGGCCATGTTGGTGGTGGTGGCCATGTTGGTGTGGGTGGCCATGTTGGTGGTGGTGGCCATGTTGGTGTGGGAGGCCATGTTGGTGGTAGTGGCCATGTTGGTGGTGGTGGCCATGTTGGTGGTGGTGGCCATGTTGGTGCGGGTGGCCATGTTGGTGATGGTGGCCATGTTGGTGTGGGAGGCCATGTTGGTGGTGGTGGTGGCCATGTTTGTGTGGGTGGCCATGTTGGTGGTGGTGGCCATGTTGGTGGTGGTGGCCATGCTGGTGTGGGTGGCCATGCTGGTGGTGGTGGCCATGTTGGTGGTGGTGGCCCTGTTGGTGGTGGTGGCCATGTTGGTGGTGGTGGCCATGCTGGTGTGGGTGGCCATGTTGGTGGTGGTGGCCATGTTGGTGGTGGTGGCCATGTTGGTGGTGGTGGCCATGTTGGTGGTGGTGGCCATGCTGGTGGTGGTGGCAATGTTGGTGGTGGTGGCCATGCTGGTGTGGGTGGCCATGTTGGTGGTGGTGGCCATGTTGGTGGTGGTGGCCATGTTGGTGGTGGTGGCCATGTTGGTGGTGGTGGCCATGCTGGTGTGGGTGGCCATGTTGGTGGTGGTGGCCATGTTGGTGGTGGTGGCCATGTTGGTGGTGGTGGCCATGTTGGTGGTGGTGGCCATGTTGGTGGTGGTGGCCATGTTGGTGGTGGCCCTGCTGGGCTCTCGCTCACCGTAGGAGTTGCACACGATGTGTGTCTCGGGGTACGACTTCCACAAGATGCGGTCACACCACGACGGCACATTCACACGCACCTGTGGACAAAGACAAAGATCCCCCGTGTAGTCTCACCAGACTGTTGGGGCAAGTGCTGCGAGCGAGCAGCAGTGGGTGGGTGGCCATCACCACGCTCGGTCGGCTTTGTCTCCCCAGTGGCGATGTTTACTACACCACCGCACCAGGTACTCATTTAAGGCTGCGTTGACCTAGGGGAGGCCCAGGATCGGTTTGGATGTTGGCTGTGAATGCGAACTCGGGTAGCCGGGTGGTGTGGCAGGGTTGGTGTGGTAGCGGTAATGTGGTAGTGGTGGTGTTCGGGGGGTGATTTGGTAAAGGTGGTATGGTAGGGGTGGTGTGGTAGAGATGGTGTGGTTGGTTAGGTGTGGTAGGGGTGGTGTAGTAGGGGTGGTGTGGTAGGGGTGGTGTGCTAGGGGTGGTGTCGTGGGGATGATGAGGTTGGTTAGGTGTGGTAGAGGTGGTGTGGTAGGGGTGGTGTGGTAGGGGTGGTGTGCTAGGGGTGGTGTCGTGGGGATGATGAGGTTGGTTAGGTGTGGTAGAGGTGGTGTGGTAGGGGTGGTGTGGTAGGGGTGGTGTGCTAGGGGTGGTGTCGTGGGGATGATGAGGTTGGTTAGGTGTGGTAGAGGTGGTGTGGTAGGGGTGGTGTGGTAGGGGTGGTGTGCTAGGGGCGGTGTGGTAGAGATGGTGTTGTAGGTGTGGTGTGGGTGGTGTCGTGGAGGTGATGAGGTAAGGGGCGATGTGGTAGGGGTGGTCTGATAGGGGTGATGTGGTAGGAGTGGTGTGCTAGGGGTGATGTGGACATAATGGAGTGACCATGGTGGTGTGCCATGGATGGTGTGACCTTATCGGTGTGGACGGAGTGGCGTGGCAGCATGGTCACAGTAGTGTGGCAAGATGGTGTGGCCTGGTGTGGTGTGGCTGCCCCTCACCCCGGTGGTCTTGAACTTCTGCCAGGCGTAGGAGTCGCGGGTGCCGCGCTCGTATCTGTACGTGGGGGGGAAACTGATGTCCTCCTCGTCTAGGGGATGACATCAACGTCGTAATCATCATCGTCACCATCGCCGCCGGCATCGTCAACATCATCAAGACGAACACCGTCAACAACATCACGCAGCGACACACGGGGAGAGACGGAGACACACGGAGAAAGACGGAGACACACGGACACTCACAGGGGACGCGTGGGGACACACAGGAAGGACACGTGGGGACACACAGGGGGGACACGGAGACACGTGGACACCCAGGTAGACACGGGGCACGGGGGGGACACGGGGACACCCGGGTAGACACGGGACTCACTGAAGCGCAAAAAGATCTTGCTCTTCTCTCTCTCCAGGTTGAGCTGATCCACCTTGAGCAGCGCATCAAACTCCTTCTTGTTGATGTGCGCCATGATCTCCTGCAGCGCGGCGGGGGGCATGCCGGTTACACGGCGCGTGCGACTCCGTCTCGCCGTGTGTACCGCCGTGTGTACCACTGTGTGTACCGCTGTGTGTACCGCTGTGAGTACCGCTGTGTGTACCGCTGTGTGTACCGCTGTGAGTACCGCTGTGTGTACCGCTGTGAGTACCGCTGTGTGTACCGCTGTGTGTACCGCTGTGTGTACCGCTGTGAGTACCGCTGTGTGTACCGCTGTGTGTACCGCTGTGTGTACCGCTGTGTGTACCGCGGTGTGTACTGTGGTGACGGTGAGTACCGCTGTGTGTCCCGTGCCCACGGTGTGTACCGCTGTGTGTACGGCCGTGTGTACCGCTGTGTGTACCGCCGTGTGTCCCGTGCGCACGGTGTGTACCGCTGTGTGTACCACCGTGGCGGCGCCCACCTGCACGTCCATGTCGAGGCGGTAGTTGAGGTCCCCGAACCAGAAGAGGTGCGTGAAGCGGTTGGTGATGTCGAAGGAGCTCAGCCGCTTGTCGCCCAGCGACAGGAAGCGCAGGATGTCCAGGTAGTTCTGGTTACGTCTGTGAGCACAGAGACCATGAGTAGAGTGAGTGAGTGAGTGGGTGAGTGGGTGAGTGGAGTG